GCCTCCTCTGGCGCGCGCCCCCTTCAACCGGCGGGGTCGGCGGATATCATTCAGCCAATGTTCCAGACAAGCAGGCATTTGAGGTTCCACACCTTCTGAAAACAACGGAAGAAGCTGCGACCAATTCAATCCGACGTTAGAAAACGGTTTTGCGCCTACAACTTTGAGATTCTGTTGTTCAGGTGGGTGCTTATCCTGAAGCAGCTGATGCTGGCAACCGATTAATCTTGTTTCAAGCTTGCAATGATAGAAAGTTGAAACTGCTAGAGGCAACAAGCCATGCGGAGAATACTCATTAGACTGAGACTCACCTATGAAAGGAACTGCTATGACATAGTATTCTTCGATGATGTTTGATTTGCATTTTTCTCACTTGCAAACTTCCCTCCGCATGATGAGTTGCTCTTGAAACACGCGTGCATGTTCACTATGCGCACGCACACACACAGATTATGTGCGTGTGCACTATGTCATCATCATCGTGTTCCGATTCTGTTTAGCTCTATATACTTGCCCGAGAAGCACCTGATTTTTGCTGATTGACGTGGAGGACTTCTCTTTGCTTGGTGGTGCGCTTGCACACTTGATCGGAAATGCCCTCTTCGGATATGCATTTGGGGTGATGCCTCTTGACTCCAAATGTCTTGATGTGCCGCATGTTTCCTTGCAGCCATTTACGTGTGAGCAAGGAAAGTAATGTTGAATCCCCGACTTTCAGGTAGAGGCTAAGAAACACAAAAACATACAAAAACATTAAAATACCAAAAAAAGTACAAAAACAAATACAAGCCTAAAATCCAACTGTTTTGCATGGTTCTACGTCATAACTGGCCCTGGTTCCCAAACAACATACTCAAATGAGGGCCACAATGCAAATAGCACCCACCAAGCCAATTGAATTTTAAGTCACGTTGTCCTTTTGATGTGTTGTCAAGAAGCATTTTCGCGAATTTGCTGTCTTTTTGCATTGTGGCAGAATAAAAGCAAAGGCAGTCGGGCCGCAAAATCAGCAAGCACCCTCGTCGACGCGTGAGCAAAACGAAAAAAGCGCAAAAAATGGTTTTGCAACCCGTTTCGGCAATGTTCTTTTTTTCTTGTTATTCTTGTGTTGTTTGCGGGTCGTATGTTTTCCGTATGTTTTTTTTGCTGGTCGTATTTTGTACTTGTTGGTTCGGATTTTTGTTGTATTTTTGTATGTTGGTTTAAGCTGCAGTCATGTGAACCAGGGCTTTGTTCAAGTGAAACCAGGCCCCTGCTGATCTGCAAAGATTGGCTCAGAAACAGATAGGGAGCCGTGGACACCTCATCTTCGTATGTGTCATATGACTCTGATGAGGAAACTTGGTTATATACGTGATATATGAGGAATCTCACATGAGAAACCCTAATACAATTCTCCCATAAAGCTCTCCTGAGGAATCTTCTGATGATGGTGATGGTTCATCAGAGGTGGAAGAAGGCTCCAGAGCTTTAGAGAAAGCGCGAGCTAGTGTGAAACATACCTGCACTGACTTTCTCTGTTTTGTTCTCTTTCTCTTTTTTCCCCATCACCTGTCTCCATGGCTTGCTTCCTTTTCATCCGAGGAATGACCGCGATCACCTGCAGCCAAAGCTGTCGGCCCGCCAGAAGGGATTCCAGCATGGGCATGGGAGTGACTTCAAGAAGCTCAACGTGACAAAGTTTGTGAAGGACATCGAGGGCCGAACTTTATAGTGTGCTTCAAACATGCTTGCACTTACAATGCTTCAGAATGGTCACAAGGTAGTGGTGGAGAAGGAGCGCTGTATGGCCTGAAAGGGATCACTTCCAGCATATACCATATTAGCAGTTGTGACTGCGCACTGGGTCCTTAGAAGTGAGCCGTGAGGAACTGCAGCCCAGACTGCTGTTGGTGTGGACTGCTCAAAAGTTTTGGTGGTGGGTGAGCTTACCCTGGCAGGCTGCACACACATGTCAATGGAATATTGAAGGGCGCGTTCATGCATACGCGGCAGGATTCCCATGCAGGCCGTGGAACATATTTCCAAATGGGTCCATCAAGATGACAATTTTTGCTGGGTGTTCACACTAAGGTACAGCCTCCTGCGCAACAACTCCTCTCTCGTGAATGAGGAGGAGGCATCTGATTATCTTTTGGATGGTCTTGGAGACTGTTGCAAGGCTTCAACCCTGGATTGCTGCGCTGGAAAATGTGCTGGGGATTTGACACCAAACTGCACAAAGTGACAAGTACCAGAAACACGCAATGAGTATGCGCCCGAGACAGAGAGAGAGAGAGAGAAATGTGTTGTTATAACTTCAACTCAGTCCGTTGCTGGGATGACATGCAGGCTGCAGATTGGCCTTGACCGGCTCGCAAACTACTACTGGGGGGACTTGATCTTGGACCCTTGGAAGTTTGGTGGTTTTCAGAAGCGCCGCAGAGTATACATCGTCTTGGTGCACAAAAAGGTCGCGGCGAAGGGAAACAAGCAAAGCAGTGACTTCCAAGAGGTGTTGGACAAGAACTTGAAACTTTTGGAGCTGGACCTTGTCCAGCGCAAAAGACAGCAGCTAGGTATTGTTGCAAATCATTCCAACCACAAACCCTGTATCCCTCCAACCCTGGCACAGCCCAGGCTTAATGGACTTCTCTTTGCCGATTCCAGCCCAGAGGTGAAGGCTGACATGCAGCGAAGGATCGGCGCAGTGGAACTGCAGAAGGAGAATTGGGAGAATCCTGGAACAGCCAAGTGCCACGCCCAAATAAAGTACAAACGACTTGTCTTAGTCCACACGTTTAAAGCTTTGGTTCCAGCGTTGACCGAGCCGCAAAAAGTTGCAAAATCATCACAAAGACTTCACGAAGAAACAGAAGGCTGTAGTCAGCAGTTGAGTCACTGTAATGTAGTATTGGGTTGTCTGTTTCTGGAAGGTGAAGCCAAGAGATGTTGAGCTTTGGCCAGAGGTGCGAAAGATTGTTGCAAGCAAGCACCAGCGGAACGCCACTCACTGGGAAATAACATGTGCACTACGTAACGCCATGTGTATTAATGCCGTGTGTATGATTGATGGCAAGGCTCTCGGGATCTTGAAGGCGTCTGGCATTGACATGGTCGTCGTGCATGTCAGCCAGTCCTTTGCGCTGATGGGTCACAGCACTGTCCTGCCAGTGGTGATGCCCAAGGGAAGCTACTCCCATATGGTGGAAACGATGCAGGTTCATTACAGAATGGGATCATATGCAAAGATGAGAAGCTGCTGGCGCAGTCATTCCCACCCGATGAGGTGTCCATTGAGCACATGGCCAGCGCCGACTCTAGCCCTCAACAATCATTCTCCTAGCACACCGCAGCTCAACTGGTAGGTGTTTGTTATTTTGGACCCTGTGCCAAGGAGATTGAAAGCGTTGCTGGAAATGCAATGTCTGTGAGGGCAATGGCCGCCGCATGGCTCTTGATCTTTACAGGGGTGGACCTCCCATCCACCCTAGAGCGACTTGGGAAAAATTGCATGCCCAGAAGACTTTGTTGAAACAGTTGAAACAATGATAGACAATCTCAGATTCATTTGTTTGGCCATGTGCTTGATGCTGCTTTCTTTCAAGCCAGGTACAAAGTTTGTCATACATTTTAGGGTCTTCTTCTGAAGAAGACTCGGAGCCATCGCCAAGTCCTCCGAAGAAACTCAAAGCCGAGCTGTTGACGTGTGGAATATCTTGGAACCAACTTCAATCACTAGATCTTGAGAACAATGAGAATGCACATGGAAATGGGCAGGACCAGACTAGAATCCGAAAGGCCTTCAAGTCACCGTGCTGTCAGGGAAGGTGTAATCCTGTTGGTCCACCTTTATCACTACCATCGCCGTAGAGGTGTGGAGAAGCAGGAGGCCGCCCAAATGGCACGGGATGACTGCGATCGCCAAGGATTAGGGAACAGCTCTTAGATCTTGATCTTTTGACTTGCAGCCACTGTGAACTTATGACCTCAACATTTCATAGCAAGCTGTTGATGACCTCAACTTATGACCTCTTATGAACTTGGGAAGGTGTTGATGGCCGTTACAGCCCCTCATGCGCGGAACATGTGCACCACTTCCTGTTCGCGCAAAAGAGGAAAACAACTGCCCGCTCCTGACCGGCAGCTGCAACCATGGCAGCATTGACATGGTGGGGTGGCGGGGCTCTACAAAAGACAGTAGTGAGAAAAACTACTTGGAGAGATGTGGACATCTGTGGGTTCATAGTCTGCTAGATGGTATGGGTTGTGTTGGATGGTATTGGGCTGGATGATATTGGATGGATGCCTCAACTTGAGCCCATTTGCATCAGGACTTGCAGGACCTGCACTCATTTGCATAAGGACCTGGATAGGATGACTCTCTTTTTTGTATTCTTGTATGTATTATGTATTCTTTTTGTTTTGTGTAATTTGTACTTTTTGTATTTTTGGCTTTGTTAGAATGTAAATTCAGCGTTGTATTGTTTGTTTTTTGAAAATACCAAAATCGATGTATTTTTGGTATTTTTGGAAAATGCGAAAAAGAGTCGTATCTTTAGGTACGTTTTTAAAAGTGCAAATTTTTGGTTTCGAATTGCGAATTGGCAAAACCCACCGGCAAATTTTTTTGACAACTTACCCGACAACCACGAGAGGCTGCTCCAAAGACAAGGGGGCCAGCTTCCCATCCCATCCATATCAATGCGTATCAAGTGGCAATTTACGTGAATATTGCTTGCAGTTTTGCATTTTTGGTTGCATTTTTGAAAACACATAAGTCAAAAATGTATTAACATACGTCAAAAGTGTATGTTTAAAAATGCAGCTGGTGAATGTGTATTTTCTTTATCACGAAAGGTAGCGGTTACGCTACCTGAGTTGTCTTTGCTTTAGCAATGATGTATTGGGGGTGGTGAAGTGCTCCGGCGCTTGATTTCGGTCGTTTAAGAGTTGGTTTTAAATGTCAGGGGGGGGCCGCCCCCCCCCATTCGACTCCACCCTGCGCCGCGGAGAATTTGGTAGTGATCCGAGCAGAAGCAAGCGGCCAGCAGCAGCAGCAGCAGCAAAGCAGCAGCAGCAACCAGGAACCAGCAGCAGCAAAGCAAAAAGGTAGCACCAGCACCAGCAGCAGCAAACGAGCAGCAGCAGCGGCGGCGGCGGCAGCACAAGCAGCAACATCAAAGCAGCAGTTGAAGCACAGCAAAGTAGAAAGCAGCAGCGGTGGCAGCAGCAACGACTGCAGCAGCAGCAAAGCTCACACAAGTTTGGCCTCCACACCCCTTGGTTTTGGTTCAGTTTTTGGGGGGTTGCGCAGACGAAATTGAAAAAGCTTCAGGATTCAAGCAACAGCAGAAACCAGGAAGAAGTAGCAGCAGCAACAGCAACAGCCAAACAGCAGCAGCAACCAGCAGGAGCAGCAACCAGCAGCAGCAGCAACCAGCAGCAGCAGCAACCAGCAGCAGCAGCAGCAACCAGCAACCAGCAGCAGCAGCAGCAGCAACCAGCAGCAGCAGCGGCGGCGGCGGCGGCAGCAGCAGCAGCAGCAGCAACAGCAAAGCAGCAGTTGCAGCACAGCAAAGCACAAAGCAGCAGCAGTGGCACCAGTGGCAGCAGCAGCAGCAGCAACCAGCAACCAGCAACCAGCAACCAGCAGCCAGCAGCAGCCAGCAGCCAGCAGCCAGCCAGCAGCCAGCAGCCAGCAGCCAGCAGCAGCAAGCAGCAGCAACCAGCAACCAGCAACCAGCAACCAGCAGCAGCAACCAGCAGCATACGTTTTTAAAGTTATTATTTGAATGCTCATAGGCTGTACCTGGAAGTGGGGAACCAAAACTAATGACTAATGGAAAGCACGGCTCCAGCTGAAGCACGTGATATGATATTGATGCAGGGATCCCACCATTTCCAGACATTCCCAGGGCGTTGGGCCCTCGGAACAGCCCAGGAACAGCGACATCCCTCGGCACGATGCGTACTGTGGCCTGCGTCACGAGCTTTTCCCCGCACCCAACTGCACGGCCACGGAAGATCTGGAGGATGTAGTTTGCTTTGGACTCAGCCATGAAGCTTGACTTTTGGAGGTGTGCTTTTCTAGCAGAACAGCCCTGGTTCCCACGTTCCACACTGAAATGAATTTTTACAGGGACTTGTGTGGAGCACCACATCTAAAGATTTGGAGAGGTGGGTGGCTCAATCAGAGTGAAAGAGCGCTAGCTTCAATTTTGCCTTGGTGTTTCGTTGAGAAGAGTGCATGATGGATGAGCTGTATTTCCATGAGGGAAGGGTATCATTGTGCAGTCGTATGGCTAGCGCCGTGTTGACTGCCAGATTTGCAATCCTTTTTGAAGCCATGAGCCGAAACGAACAGATCATGGTGAATGCATTTCTCAGAAGGATGTGTAGAGCGAATGGTGAATTCCAAGGATCCTAATGGAACTTCTTCAAAAACCTGCCACAAGAATTGCTGTGATGACGAATACTGCAGCGTTTGGCAATTCATGCGGCCTCATGACTGCAATTGTTTATGGTGTTTTAATGTGGTGACCGAGGCTTATGATTTGCACAGCCTGCGCACTGCGTATGCTCATAGAATGACATGACAAGACATCACCCCTTTGTCCATTGGGGAACACTGCACAATCAAGCAGTGTGTAGTTTCCCAGTCGTTGAAGAAAGACGCTATTGGAATCGTATGCAGTTTCTTCTCATCATGAGATGGTAAAGGCGGTCATTAGTTTTTGCGAGAGCTTTGGAGCTAAATTGTTTTTCAGAAGGGAGGAACAGAGACGAAACTAGACAGCATTTTTGCAAAGGGGCGGCAGGTGTTGTGAGGGGCGACAAAGATTTATTCTTAAAAAGAAAAAGGGGACGGGGCTGAAGCTGTGATTTGCCTAGCCTTCGCATCGCTTCTGTTTGCATGTGACAGGAACGGGCAATGCTGGCGGGGTCGCAGCCACCAGTGCACAAGTCTTCATCCCTATGCGGCAGAAGTGCTCGCAGGGCAGAGAGTGCATTGAGAGGGAGCGAGCCAGAAAGAGCAGACCGTTCTCAAGGAAAAGCATCATCCAATGTTTGCAACACAAGGAGGAGCAAGGACGCTACTAGAGGCTCCTGGCCTTACTACTGGGAGCAAGGACGCTACTACTGGCTCCTGGCCTTACTACTAGGAGCAAGGACGCTACTAGTTACCAAGGGCAACAACACTAGGAGCAAACATGCGTTTAACAGAACTTCTTGAGTTTCATCCAGAGTAGAAGTGCAGTCAAGGATTTTGCGCAGAAGGGGCCCGGTTTGGAAAATTGACATGGCGCTTGATGCCGCTTGTGCTGGCAGGTCCCGTGCAGCACTACAGCAGGGCGCTTGTCCTGTACACGGGGTGGTCCGTTGAATTAAGCAGGAACACCATCGGCTAGAAATCCATTTCACCTCTCACCCCTGTCACCCCTAAGAGGTAAAGTCATGAAATGGTTATGTTTATATACTGGGTTGATCTGGGTTAAGAATCGGCATTGGTCAACTGTGAGACGTCAACATAAGATAAGATTCACCCGAAATGAAGGTGTTAAGATGTCGGCATGATGCGACCCGAGAGGGCCAAAAATGTCATGGAATTTCTGGAAGGAAAAGAGCTGCAGACTGGAATCTCGACACAACAACTTTAGCCCTGGCTGCAGCTAGCGGGTTGTTTCAAAGAGCTGTATATGCATGAGTGTGCTTTGGTATCACTGAAGAGTTTGAAGAGACCAAGGTCCAAGATCAACGGCATAGTAGGAGGCCAGCCGGCGAGACCACCAGAACATAACTTGCAGCGCAGCCATTCTGGAATCAATCAGATGCATGATAGCTCACCAGAAGATCCTTGTGAATATATTGAATATGTGATGTCATAGATATATCATGATATACCTAGTTAGGACCTAGTTCCGATTCACATACTCCCTTATATTATTGTTCAAGCCCTCCTACGGTTTGTTGGGAGGCCTTGCCCATGCCACCATCGCACAAGAAGCGCGTGTCGCAAGGAAGCCCAGCGTGTGTCGCAACATCAAGAGTGTGTACTATCCTTTGCCTTTTTTGGACGGACAGAAAATAACCCTTATACATCGCTAGTAAGTTGGAGGCCAGTGCTTCTAGGTTGGAGGCCATCGGACCCAAAATACCCCTTATAGATCACCAATAAGAAGGCTTTTATGCCTCCATGCTGAGAGACGTCGGTTGGCATTGCTCGGGTCTCGCAAGTTGATTCATTTGAAGACTGAGGCTCTTGAGTCTTGGAGGCGGATAACAAAGCAAGGCCGCTTTGAGAAAGAGAAGTCACTTGGTTGCATTGATCAATGTGCTGAAGCAAGCCAGAACATGATGTGAGTGTTCGATGGGGTTTCTCCATTTGCATGTGGAAATATAGGCAGCACAGCCTGAATTGACGTCCCTGTACAGGTAGAGGCTAACCCACAGGAGTCATAAGAGCAGTTGATTCATGATTGTTTTGTTTAGCATCCTTTCTCTGACAGCACTGGCATATGTTACATCGAAAGGAAAAAGCTCAAAGAGGAGCAGGCACGCCTGGCACTGACTCTGTTTGACATTGAGAGGTAGTGACCATCATCCTTCGTAAAGTCAGTAATGTAGAGTGCTTGTCAATAAGACATCTACATGTTTTTACGATCAAGAAAGGAGGGTCATGAAGCAACATTCTACATAAGGGCACTGTGCAGATGTTCTTCTTTTCAACCTTGGAACATGTGGATGCTACGGCTACAGTCTCGCAGGTTCGGAAGACCGTGATGCAGTGGGCAAGCGACTTTCCAAAAACAGCCATGCCAGTGACCGCACCCAGATCCCGGATTCAGTTTGACGCCATGGGGACGATTCACTTTGTTTCTACAAGAAAAAAGTTTAAGAGACAGGATGGGTAGCCACCATATAGTATCCACTATTTGTGGTTGTAAGATTGGTGGTGAGACTTCCCACACCAGTGATTGCCCGTTAATCCAGGATTCTTGCAGAGGTGTGCTTATGTGACGTGCTTGATTCAAGGTTGTCCACTGGAAAGTGCGCATTCTTGCACTACACAGGTTGTTGGTCCCGTTTTCCAGACAGGGGTCATCATTCGCGCTTCGGCAGAGCCCCGTTGAGGCCATCTTCTTTGCTTGGCGAAGGTTGATAGATAGTCGACATGAGGACACAAATCTGGAAGTGGAGGTTTTGGTGTGCTGGTGGGTACATGGGTGTTTCGAGCTCAGACGGATTTGATCTTCGCAGGAGAAGAAGGCAGAGGAAATGCGCCGAGAACACATGCGCTTGGCGAAGGACAGAGCAGTTTCATCAATCATGCGTGGGTACCCACACATTGGATAGCTGATCAGCTCTGCAGTTTGCAGATGGTTTTATAATGAAACATTTGCAAACATTGAAATAGATTATATAGAAAACATTACACAGTTACACATCATAGCAAAACACTGAAGCAAATTAAAACATATCAAAACACGTTTTCAAAAGGATATATATATATATTATTCATAAGATTTAAAAAGAAAACACTGTATTTCAAATTTAAGTCACATGTGCTGCAAAGACATAACCCAGTAGTCACTTTTCTTTCCACAGCAGTCTCTAAAGTATGTTTCCACAACCCATTGGTGAAAAGCAAAGGCCCAGTTGAGCCAGCGCCCAGTGACATGATGAAAGTATTTTTTCCAAGCAACCAAGATTAGCTGTATGAATTAGAATTACACTGCTTTTTTAATGATTTGCAGTTCAATTCGATATGTTTTATTTGTTTCATTTGTTACCAGTATCGGGGAATCTTGATGGGAGCACCGCTGGTGAGACTCCTTGTTCTCACGGAAGAAGTTTCATGGACTTGTTTAATCCACCAATTAGTTCAGCGACAATAATTCGACATGTTCGTGCTTCGCTTGACGGCCTGGCTTTTGTGCAAAGGAAGAAAAAAGGCAGCGCATTGCCTCAGCAGACTGGGTCTTGGCCAAAAGAATGTGTTCAGCTATTACAGCATTTTCTTTTAGGGAGAGCGTCCATTTCATCCACACACGGCAAGGTGTTTGGCCCCTTTCCTCAGCTTTGTCCTTCCAAGGCATTAGCATTGACGGCCGACCCCAAGAAGATGGATCCATATGCCATGAAGGCAAAGAGTCTGAGTCCACTTGGAAGCTGACATTTGCACACATGTGTGCTAAGCAATGTCATTGGGTTCCTTTCCGCAAAGACTCGATTCTTGTTGGATGCACGAGGTGAAACTGGTTGCTCCAGTGATTCGAAAGAATGAGATGGAAGCCATAAAGGACTCTGATATTCCAGTTCAAAGTAGCCGTGTAGCCCTCTCTCCAGTGAGTTTAGGGCGGGTGTTGAGCCGAATGACGCACCAAGTGCGAAGACAAGAAGCGGAAAGATATCGCACAACTCTCAAGCAAATTTTACGAGTTGATTCTTAATCTGAAGTTTCGGATCCGCTCTTCAAGCCCTTTGTGATTTGTGAAGCCGTTGCAACCCTCACAAACTCACTTTTTGGTTCACCTCAGGGGCCCAGTCTTCAGGAGCCAACACTGTATTGTTATTGTGTGTTTATAACAGGTGCAAGTGAGACGCTTGATCACTAAAAAAAACCATTTGGATCGAACACCCGGGCGTTTCAAGAATCTACATTATTCGGATGTCAAAGTATGCTTCACGACTCTATAGCCATCTATAGCCACTCCATGCGCAAGATTCACCCTTCACAATGGCCAAGCTTGAACTACTCACTGCTTTGCATTTCCAACGCGAGGTGATCCTCCGAGCTTGGCAGTACTGTATGATTGAGGCTCGTGCTGAGAATGCCCGGGTGCTTACTTTCCACAGTTGAGGGATATCGTGGAAAATTCACGCAGTCTTGCTAGCCAAGGGCCGTTTGCGCAATAATGAGATTTCAGTGGTGAAGCAAAAGAGTTGCAAGATGATAAAGCAGAAATGGCTTGAGATTAGAGGACCAGAGGATCAGGAGAGATGGAAACCAGGTGATCAAAAATAGATGAGTGCAATTGGCATCATGTCTCGTAGAGTGTGACTTCAGCCCTGAGACGAGACTAGACTTCGGAACGGAGTGAAACATGGCCCGGCCCAGCATGTTTCTCACGCCCAGCATGTCATGCCATGTTTTGCATTGCGCTTGGACGCTGAGGCTGTTAGGATCGCACATGTGCGAGCAGAAGAGCGCAGATCCCTCAGGTATGAATTACTCAAGGGAACTACTCAATGACTCAAACAGTGGAACTACTGAAGTTTGTGTGAGCTTTCCCTCATCATTTACCAGTTTGCCATGGCTGCGTTAAGTTTTATGTGGTTTGCCCTGAGTACTGGTGGAAATTCTGGGCTGGCTGGCGGTCACATGACCAGTACAACGAAACGAAACCAACAAGAATACAACTCACGACCAACCCTGATAGCAAACAATAATTTCAGAATTACATATATATATATATAAATACAGTAAAACGAGGTAATACGCATTTGCTGGCCAAGCCACTTAGCATGACCCGAACACTGACCATCATGTGCACTGAAGGAGGCACCATCACCAACAACGCATTTAATATTTTAAATACGGGACACCGGAGCCCCGCCAGCCATCGCCAGCCTGCACACCCGGCCCCAATCAATCAAACTGGAGAATCCTAGCTTGACGCTAGTGTGGAAAACAAACAAGAATTGCTCTAGATGGAAGGCGTCAGCATTCCGCCAGACTGATTTGGGCCTCAAAAACCTAACCCTGCCCATGTTGTTTCTGAACAAGCACCAATCTCATGTCGGCAAGACTCAGGTGAAAAAGAACGCCGCAGCCAATTTCAAAGGCGCTTCGCTATGCTGGCGTCAGAGGCCGGCCTTGTAAGATTGTGATGTCAGGCTGGGTCCAAGTCTTTTTGGTGTTTTAGTAATTGATTGAGTACCCCTCGGGTTGAATGAGCAGTGCTTAAACACATCTTGGCCACCAGGTCACTAAGATGTGTTTCTTGGTTGG